TTCCCATACCTTTTGAACTAGAGACTCCATTACTGGGTTTATACCCCAAGGAAGCCATTTATAAGAGAAAAGTCTCCCTATCTTCCAAAATATTTATAGCAGCACCTTTTCTGATAGCCAAGAATTGGAAACAAAGTAGATGTCCATCAATTGGGGAATGGCTAAACAAATTATAGTATATGGGTGTAATGCAGTATTACTGTGCTGTAAGAAATTGCATGTGATGAATATAGAGAAGCATGAACTGATGCAGAATGAAGTAAGCAAAACCAAGAGAATAACATATGCTAACTACAATAATGTAAATTGAAAGAATGACACACCAAAACATTAAAAGTCAATGTAACAAAATTTTAAAGATCATGTGGAATAACTATCAGGAAGGGGACAGAGGAGGCATCAGTGGGATACTATGCTGATGTAAGAAATAATAAAAATTATGTTTTTTAAAAGATGAAAAATATCAGGGATAAAACTAAATCTGTGTTCAAAAAAATCAGCTTTACAGGTATAAGATGGCAAAGGTATGGCTAAATAGCAGTTCATCTGAAAAAGACTTATACTGTGGGTTTTTAGTAGATTGCAAACTCACTTTGAATCCACAATGTGATCGATTGATTGCAATGGAACAAAAATTAGTGCAATCTTAAGTAACTGGACTAATATTCTGAATTCTGTCCTAGTCAGACCTTACATGGTATTGAGTGTCACCTGGTTTAGAAAGAACCAATGATAAACTAAAAACAATAAGGAGAGGGTTCACAGGGACCTGACTTCAAATATGACCTCAGACACGACATTTACTAGCTGTATGACCCTGGGCAAATCACAACCCCAATTGACTTGCATAAAAAAAAAGAAGAAGAAAAAGAGGGCTCACCAGGATAGGGAAGAGCCCCATGTGGCTTTGTGACTATGCCACAGGACATGATTTTAAGGTATTGGGGATCTTTATCTTGGAAAATAGACTTGTAGGGACATAATAACTATGAAAGAAGGATTACACTTGTTCTGCTTGGCCCCACCAATTCTTCTCCACCCCAGCCTCCAACCCAAGTGTCACGGGCTGCCTCTAGCCAATGCCTGGCACTTGCCTAAACTCAGCCTGACTGACCACACGTTGTCTTCCATACCATGGACTGTGATCTCCATGAGGGCAGGGACCAAGCACTACTAACCTGTGTATCTCCTCCAAAATATATAGCATGATGTTTTCTGCACACTGCACATCAGGCTAAAAGGAGCTTCTGAGGACAGCAACCTGTATCTGAAATATAAACCCCTTCCACAGCATTCTTGGCAAATGGCCATCCAACCTATACTTGAAGCCCTCCAGTGATAAGCAACTCACTACCAGCCAAAACAGGAGGAAGGGAGAACCTAGGTGGGGGGTTATTTGTACATAAACCTCATCCCTCGGTACATAGCAAGTTCTTTGAGAACGGAGGTTTGTTTTTCATCCCTGTATCCCCAGCACTAAGAACAGAACACTGAATACAACAGGTACTTAATAAATGTTTGTTAAATTAACTGAACAAAAAAGTAAATGTTCTGTTCTTCCAGCCAAGAAATTGATTTTTCCCCAATTGAGCCCCGATGGCCCTGGTCCCCAAACACTCAGATAATAATGACAGGCCCAAATTCTATCACTCTCTAGTTTATAAAACACATTTCCCATCACAGCCCTGTGAAGGAAATGGTACAAGTATTATTATCTCCAATTTACAAATTTTAAAAAAAATTGTTTCAGACAGAAGTGACTTACAGTCACACAGCTACCAAATTTCAGCTGTGAACTTGAACCCAGGTCTCCTGATTACAAGCCCCATGCTCTTTCCATGAATCAACATGGCCCCTGCTCCTCTTCCCTCCTGTTGTCTTCCCCCTCCCTGCCCCGCTCCCATTCAGACATATTTCCCCCCTACGCCCAACCCAGCTCCTTGTGACAAGAAGCCAGTGTCAGCAGGTGCCAGGCAGTGCAGGAGAGGCTCTGCTCTGAAACGTCCTGACCATCCCCACTTCTTCCTCCTCACCGCCTGTCATCAGATGATTGCGGCTGTCACCTGGCTCTTGGAGGATAAGGTTGCCAGAGTCTATAAATATAGGCCCCAGCCCACCCACAGGCCCCCAGAGACGGACAGATGGCAGAGAGCACAGAGCAGAGCACTGCTGCTGTTGCCCCAGGAAATGGTCCCCATCCACCCAGACTGCACCCAGGTAAGAACCACCTAGGGGTTATTAATCTTACTCTCTCTGGCAGAGGCTTGGGCTAAGGCCCATAGTCTGGAAACTCCTAGAATTGGGAGGGCCCTTAAAGATTGAATCCAATAGCTCAGTTTGACAGAGGAAAAGGAGACCCAGAGAGGAAATGTGACCTGCCCAAGGTTATGTCTGGAGAGGATAGCAGAAAGTGATCTCAGACCCAAATGTGTAGGACTCTGAGGCTCTTTCGCCGCTGTCTCTCTGTCCTGGTGTCCTGTGTTGCTATTAACAGTAGGGAGGTGCTAGAATTCACTGGCCTCTATGGCCATGGGTTGGAGAAGTGACTATCCCAGAGCCACAGAGCCCTAAGTAGGGGGACCTGCCCTGTCCACTCTGAAAGGTCCCAGGAGGGACCTAAGCCCCCAGATCTAGCCCTAGGCCTAGACTCCCAAGGCCATCCTGGCTGGCTCACAGAATTACACAATGTTACAGGAGCCTTAGAGAATGCCAATTCCACCTGAAAGGTTCAGAAAAGGGAAGTGACCACAGTTCATGGCAGAGCCACCTATTAACTTCTGGACTAGTTAACTCTTGTGTGTCCAAGTCCAGGATTCTTCCTAGGTGCACCAAGCCGTTCTCAAAGGATGGTCTCCCTGAGCTAACCACTAAGGGTGACAGCTCTGTGATCCCAGAGCACATGGGGGTGGGGGTGGGGAGTAGCTAAAGTGAGAGCACAGGAGGACAAGGGGAAACAGGGACCTGATGCCACTTGTCCTTGAATGCCCCTGAATGCTGCTAACCAAGCCACGTCCCTGGGCAGGCTGGGCTGCAAGTAAAATCAAGGCAGCATAAGGGAGTGCCCTGGGGCTTAGGGTTTAAATAATTATAGTAGTAGTAGTAATCACAATGGGCATTTCTACAGAGCTTTGAGATGCAGTTTTTTCTTATATTTCTTGTTCAATTGTGTCCAACTCTTTGTGACCTCATATGGGATTTTCTTAGCAAAAAAAAAAACACTGGAGTGGTTTGCCATTTCCTTCTCCATCTCATTTTACAGATGGGGAAACTGAGGCAATCAGGATTAAGTGACTTGCTTAGGGTCACACAGCTAGTGAGTATGTGAGGCCAGATTTGAACTCAGGAAGATGAGTCTTCCTCAGAGTCACTGAGCTGGGTTATTCCCCCCATTTTACAGAAGTAGAAACAAGGAATGAGAGAAGTGCTTAGCACAAGGTCACCACCAGCTAGTTAATAGCAGGGCCAAGTTTCCCACAGAGGTCCTGGGTCCCCATTCCCAGGCTTAAGCCTCCTAACCTGGCTGTGGTGGTGAGGGGAGACAAGTGATTAGGGCCCATCAGTCAACAGTGAATCCACCTACAAGCCTAGAAATGAAAGGCAGACCTGGTTCGTGCCTATGAAGAGATGGTTTGACTGAGGAAACCCAGACATGAGAAAGCATACAGAGCAATTAAGTATAAAATTAAAGGGGTGGGGCACAGAATGCCTGGCTTCTACATGGGCAGCCTGGGCTCTGGCACCACTCTGCAACAAAGGCAAGGGCAGATCCCTTTCCCTCTCTAGACCTCAGTTTCTTCTTCTGTAAGATGAGGAGCTTGGACTGGCTCCCCAAAGACCCGTGTAGCTTGTGCACTCTCTAACCCAGAGGCCAGGGAGATGTCCCTAAGCCAGGCCACGAGCTAAGTTTCTCTGAGATTTCAGGGCCCTGCTGAGCCATTCCTCTAGTGACCAGGAAAAGGTCCTCCCCTCCCCATGAAGAAATGGTCATCAGATTTAGGGTGTAACTGATCCCACCTGTTGTGAGGCAGAGCCTCCCAGGCCAAGAAAGGATCTCAAAGGGAACCATCCTGGCCCTCTTCAGACAGATGCCAAGGCTCAAGGCTGGGCCTCAGGCACCCTGAACCCAGTCAGCTTCCCAGGGCCCTAATGCCTTCTCTTGGAGCCATGCTAGAGCCTTTGCCTTCACCCTGCAGGCTTTCAGCTGTCCCTTTCACATTCACTAAACTTCTCTGATATAGGGAATCGGCCCAGGATAGTGGATAGGGGATAGGATAGGGGATCGAAGACTCCTCATGTTCCCCACTCCCCTTCACCCGTCATTCACCACCATCACTGTATTCCTGCTGCCTGGGTCTAGCACCCATTTTCCTCTTTCCCTTCTCCCCATTGTTTCCACATGTTCTAGACTTAAAGAGACAAACATACACTCATGCAGAAATAATACAGCAACTGAACAAAGGTCGTTAGATGTATACATATAAGAGAACTCTGTTATCTTTAATTAGCGGGCTCTAAACTTCTGGACCCTTCGACAAAGATACATTTCACTAGGCTATCCTGATTCCCACTCAGGACCAGTTGCTCCACCCTAGGCTATCCTGATTCCCACTCAGGACCAGTTGCTCCACCCTAGGCTCCAGGGAAGAATCTAAACTTAGGGTTCAGCCATCTGGACACTGAAGAGAGCAGCTTCATTGGTCCATTTTTCCAATCCCAGGCACACTTTGTGCCAATCAGAAAGCCTCCTGATAGTTTGCTAGGCTTGTGGTGCTCTACACGTGGCAGTAAGTAATCCCTGAGTTAATGAGTTATCACATTCTACCTTCTTCTAATGAGGGACAAACACATATGAAAAGAGGAAAATTGAAATAGTTCCCATCATCTCACAGTCAGAGCTATCCAAAAGTGGAATGTGCTGATGTAATCCCTGCTAACAGAACAAGTAGGGCCAGGCAACTGACGTAAACAAAAGTGAGCTCACTGGAAGCTTGGAACCAGAGGTTGGATGGCTCCTTTGCGGTGAATGTGAGGAAGACATTCCTCTATTGAGGAGCTGGACTCTGCACTCCCGGGGCCTGCTCCAGCTGCATGGATCACAATTGGAATAGTTCGGCCAGATACTCAGGTCATACCCAACACTGACAACACACTGTCCTACTGAAGGGCAGCCAGGGAAAGCACAGGTGTGTCCTGCCTGGGCCTGAAAGACAAGGGCAGAACTTAGACTGATTTGTCCTAGGCCAGGCTAGAAAAGCCTCCCCTATTTGTTGATACCTTTTGTTTCACAGCACCTTCATTTCCAAATATATCTCTCCCCCAACCCACCCAGAAAGGTGGGCAGGGGAGAGCCATCACTTCTACCAAAGAATAAAAAAGTCAAGGGAAAAAGTAGTTAAGCAAAACCAGCTGACACATCACCAAACCGGACTCTGAAGACCTAAAGCTAGAAGGGTTCTTAGGGACTGGCCAGCCCAACCTCTTCACTTCATAGATGAACACATAGAGCAAGTCAGTCTAAGAGGGAGCTCCAAGTCCCTTAGGCTTCAGCTGATAGGCCAAGGTTGTGGCAAGGCAGCTAGAAGACCCGTACAGATCAGCCCCTGGGCTTAGCCTGGTCTCTGCTCCTTTTACCACTCGCTCATAGATCTTGGAGGTTTGGAAGGGATTTTGGAAATGAGAAACTAGGGGAGCCCAGAACTCCACAGTTATTAAGCAAATAATAACTTGCCCATTCATGGATGATAACTAGGATAAAGTCTAGTCTTCAGAGATGAAAATTGGGAGGCATAGGGAATATTCACCATAAACTAAAGTGAGGACCCTCATAGAGACCCAAGCTCAATGAGTAGGAAGTTGAGTCCAAGAAAAGATTTAATGAAAAGCATTAGCTAGCCCAGAGGACCCTGCTCTATTTAACGATCTTGGCACCTGGGGCAAATAATGTCCTATTAAAGACAGAAAGGCATGTTAACCTAGGCTCTGGAAAAGAACAGATAGTCCCCTCTATAAAGGAAAAAAGTTGGTTTTTTTAACCTTAGGGCTATTGTTGGTTCTAGACTGAAGCAAGGATTGCTAATCTTCTAGCAGGGCTATTTTTTAAAAGCTATTGGCTTTGAATCAAAAGAACACGGAGGAACACACTTTCCTCATGAGGAAGAGATAACCCTATAGCCAAAGGCTACAGCTGAAGCCAAGAAACAAGGCACAGGGAGATGCTTCATAGCCATGTTCCCAATGGGGCCACGCCTGGTAGGCAGCAGTAGTTAAGCGGCCATCGGAGCAGCATCTGCTTCCAGATGAATGCATAAAGTAGAGATCAGGAGGGCACAGGTCCAGGAAAACCAGTGCAGTGACCTCACTAAAACCTAGCAGTCTTGCTGTATCAAAGGCCCGAGTTATCTCTCTCCACACACAGGCTCTGGCTATAAATGTTCCATATATAGATATAGAGATAGAGATAGAATGTGTGTGTATATATATCTATATATATGTACATATATATATTAAATTTATGTATACATTATTATATAATTTATATATTATCCATAAATGTACCTATATAAATGTATATGTATATATGCAATAGATGTACTATACACATATTGTATATACATATATGTGCACTGCATACATGTATACATACATGCATGCATACAATGTATACACATATGTATAATGCATGTATGTATATGTGTATTGCATATACATTTATATATACACATGAATGTATGCCTATGTGTATGCCTCTCCACACATTCCTTGTGTGTACCCACACTGCCCACTGATGTGCATATCCGTGGGAAAATGTATCCCAATCTAATAAGGGAATTTTTCATTGCTGTTTTTATTATTATACCTCTTTGCCTTGAACTATGCCCTCTGGCTGACTATTGAAGGTAACAAGTGAGTGAGGGCTCATAAATTATGATTTTTGTGGGGAAGGGACCCCCTATACAAGTTGGGTATTCCACAGGTGCTGGAGTATGGGAATTAATCTGAGATTGCCATCTTGGATGCCCTTAACATTATAGGGATTCAATGGAGAAAATTTAGTATATTTTCTTATATTTTTAGGCTGTAATTAGGCAGGCTGTTTTCCAATGTCTTCCTTTACTAGTCAGACCAGTTGCTTTAAGATAACTTCAGCATGGTTGAATAATTAGGTACTAAGATCTCTTGTATTAATGTGTCAATTATGAGTATGGGAGCTGACATGATGAGCATACTGATGTTGAACACTGGTTCACAGTAAAACTTCTGGAGCCACATAAACGAAGGATGACTAGATAGAGGATTTTTTTCTGTCTTAAGCAATAAAGTTATTGAAAGCATTCAGGGAAATGGAGACAGGCATAATCCTATGTATTTTCTATAATTACCTGAAGAAATAGATTATTCTTTTAATCAATAGATTATTCTTAAATCCCAGGACATAACCTTAAGATACACTCACAGTTAGGGGGCAGGATATGATTGATGATCCGGCAAAGGAGACTGAGAAAGAGTAGTAAGAGAAGTAGAAAGAAACAGAAATTTTATGAAAACCTAGAGAAAATTGAGTATCCAGGAAGAAAAGGTGGTCAGCAGTGTCAAGTGTTGCAGAAAGGTCAAGAAGGATGAGGATTAAGAAAAAGCCAACCATCCGATTTGGCAATTAGAAGATTATGGGTAACTTTGGAGAGGATAGTGAATGATGAGATTAGAAGCCATATTGCAAAAGGCTGAGAAGAAGGAAGTAAAGCCACCAAGAATAGATAACTTTTTTTCCTAGAAGTCTTGCTATAAAGAAAAGAGAGATACAAGTTGATAGTTCGAGGGGATGACAGGGTCAAGGGAAAGTTTTTTCAGGATGGGGAGACTTGGAGATATCTGTAGTTCCAAGGAAAGAATCAATAGATAATAGTGAAAGTGAATATTAGAGGGACAGGAAAGAGGTCTAAGGGAGCAATGTTCTGAAGGAGATGGGAGGCATTGGTTCCTAGTTGGGTAGGTCTGTGCATGTTGGTAGAATGATCAGTCACCATTAGGATGTGCTCGTGTTTTTACTTTAAAAAGTTGATGTGAGAGGGCAGCTAGGTGGTACAGTGGATAGAGCACCAGCCCTGAAGTCAGGAGGACCTGAGTTCAAATCCGGCCTCAGACCAAACACTTGACACTTACTAGCTGTGTGACCCTGGGCAAGTCACTTAACCCCAATTGCCCAAAAAAAAAAAGTTGATGTGAACAAGTGCAGAAGATTTGCTAGTACTTATGTTTATTTCACGACTTTCCTTTGAATACAATGGGCAGAAGTTTCCCACTTTTGAGAGACATTCACTGCCACTTTGGGGCAGTAATATCTGTTTCTTGCTCTCTCCAATGTCCGCTCTTGATTCAAATGTCCAAAATCATTATGTAATGCCTTCATGGCATAGAGTAAAAATGCCTGAGGTAGTACCATCTGTGAGGGTACAATCTGGTAGAGTGTCCCACTGTTGAGCTCCAGCTTCTTTCATTGCTTCAACAATAAGATGTCCTCAAGGGAATGAAACTTGAATCATTAAGGGCCACTCCCTTGATTCTTGGCTTATGAAACTCCTCAAATCTGTTCTTGCCACCAGTTATACAAGTACAAACGGAGCAAAATAGATTGGTTTAGTCAAACACAGTTCCTGTACACTGGTGGCATACCTCCTGGTAGGAGTCACAAGCTCTTCCATTTGCCCATCCATTTCACTATTGTCCAGGTCCCTAGGTATTACTTCACTCTTTCTGTTCATATCACAGCTTGGCATCACATGAGAGCACCTATGTATTCATATGAATGTTCCTGAGCCAATAGCATATATTGAACTCATAGCTGGGTAGCACTGCTACCCATCTAAACTAGCATTGTTCAAAATGTAGGTCAGTGTATTGTTGCCCATTTATACTTGAAACTGAGCTCCATGCATACAGACTTTGAATTTCTAAATGATAGCCAAGAGATAGAGTGCCAAGTTTCCCTGTCAGTAAGTGCTTTACTGGCAAAGGCAACCAGTGACCATCACTCTTTTGGTACAGGACTTCTCTCAAGCCTTCTAAGCTAGCTTTAGTATACAACACAAAGGGCTTGCTTACATCTACATAGGCCAATTCGCATGAAGCACTTGACTAATTCATTAAAATCTTGTTAACATGGAACCAAGATGGCAGAGTAGAGGAAGTTTACAGCCCAGCTCTTCCAACAATCCCCTCCAAACAACTTTAAAATAACACCTCAAATTAAATTCTGGAGCAGCTGGGCCAAGAGACATTTTTCTAGCCCAAGACAACTCAGGAGGTTAGAAGGAGAGGTCTGTGACACTGGGTTGGAGGCTGGCCTGGAGTGGGGCAACACCAGCTGTGGACCCTGGAGGTGACTGCAACAGCAGCAACAGCTTCAGGAACTGTCAGCCCAGATACAGTAAGGAGATTGGAAACTGATCAGAAAGAAATTACAGGGGACCCCCTGTAGAACCAGACTGTGTTTGGCAACTTCATTGCCCATACCCACTTTCAGGTCACAGTTCCAGGCTGGAGAGGAATGCTTTCAGTCACAAAGGAGCAGGGGCCTTGAGGAGCTATAGCATTTGGAGCTACAGGGAATCCAGGGCCCTTCCTGAGTAAGGATCAAAGCACAGACCAAGAGAATAGTGACCACATCTCTCCTCAGATCATGCCACCTTGGAAGCACCAAAAACTTCCAAACTCTCAGAACTAGCTCTGAAAACAGCAGTGCAAAGAAGCAAAAAAGTGCCCCCTCCACCCAAGTGAGGTTGAAAGTTAAGAAGCAGGCTGGGAAAATGAGCAAAAACAAAAACAAGCCAAAAAATGGGAAGAAAAAAAAACTCTGAGCAGAAAAATCTACTGTGGTGACAAGGAAGATCAAGACGCAGAGCAGGAAGATCACAATGTAAAAAGAGCTACAAGCAAAGCCTCAAAGAAAAAAAATACAAATTGGACACAACAAGAACTCCTGGACAAGCTAAAGAAAGAGCAAAGAAATTATTTTTAAAAATCAAATAAGAGTGGTAGAGGGAAAAATGGAAAAAGAAATGAGAACAATGCAAGAAAATTATGAACAGACAAAGAACAGATTGGTAAAAAAGGCACAAAAAGTACACC